AATTGCATTAACTTATGCTGCTGATATTTGCTAATAGATACGTTATAAGGTGTTGTTTGACCCCTTGTCCTTCTGGGAACATCACCAAGTTTGGAAAAGTCCCATGCCGAGAAGCGATCATTTGAAACCTCGAGCTGTGTGCACTGAGAAACTGAGTGACAGGAGCCAGAGGAAGAATTACCAACCTCCCTGTGAATCTGGCTCCTAGTACCATGCATTAAGCCAACGAGTAAAAATCATTATGAAGTTTTTGCTGAAAGGGCAAGTGTAGAAAAACATGTTTCTAAACAGAATAACAGTCTTTGCCATTTTTTCCAACTTGCATACCATCTGGAAATTCTGATTTTTTTTTTCCAAGGGTAGGAAAGAAATGTGCTTCAGGCACAAATAAATGTTTACAGCTGAGTTATAAACCGAGAATGGTAGGGCTTAAAACAGGCAGGCTGGCGGTGATGGAGCTCAAAGCTGCAGGAGACAAATAATGTTTGGGGATCTGGCCAGCCTGTCTTACACATTGGCCCCCCTGAAAGGGGAAGTCTTGCTCCCCACTGACCTCCTCCAGTAAATGTGTGGGACAAAAGCCTCACCTGGGACTTGAGTTAATTCTCAGAAGACAAAGGAAGGGAGATGAAGTAACATTATTTTCTGTCTTGCCATTCTAAAAGCAGCCTTCCCTTTTGGGCTTCTCAGCATTCATAGGAAGTAGCATCCTGTGGAGATGGATTAAATGGACCAACCGAGTGAAGTGATGATGCTGTTAATGATGTCAGAGATTCATAGATTGCTTGTCAAGTGCATGGTATCACAACAGTGTTTGGCAAGGGTTATCTCATGTATGCTGGACCACAATCTTGTGAAGCTTGTGCCATTCCACAAGCTGATGGCTGGGAATAGATAAATGACCTGAATAAGCAAAGTCAACCCATCAATGTAGGGTTGGAGCTGGGGTTTGTGCCCAGCCAGATCAGTGCCAGTATTCTATACTGATTTACAGGATTTTTCAAGAAAATTCATGCAGAGCACTTAACCAGTGCTTGATGATAAAAAAGAAACAGAGGTTCTGGGACCTTGGAATTCCCTATTTTGGGTACAGAAAAAGTTCCAGAGAGGTAGAAATGAGTTTGAAAAATGATATGAGAAAATCATCACCTTTTCTTACCAAGGGGTAAAATGGAAAATACTTTTTGTCTCTGTAGGCTGTGCAGTCTGCTGTACCTGTTTGCCTCCACGGTCTGATAGGCATGGCTTTGCACCAATAGAAGCCATCATGACAATGAGTGGTCAGCCAGATTTGGCCCACGAGATATAGTTTGCTAACCCCAGTGACACAGAGGACACTGGGAAAGCAAAATGACTGATGGATTTTGAGAACGATCCATGAAATTCTACTTGAGAGCATATTCTTTCTTAAGATCAGTGAACAGACCCAGAGCCAGGGACGTGGCCTGGCAAAGCTCCTGTGTACCTTGTTTCTGGGCCCAGGCAATCAAGCTGGATCCCTTTATGCTATCTGACCAGGTCAGAATACTGTATCGAATCTTCATTCTCAAGGCTTATCTAATCTCACATCTATAGAAAAAGCACTCTGTGTCCCTCTAATGAAGATGTATGAGTTCATTCCTTTGAACATAGAAATACACACAAGACGGTGAGTGATTCTGGCAGTCCACGTGCACCTTCTTCTCAATGTGAAACCCAAGACCATCCACGGTAAGGTTTAATTGAAAGAGAGTGTGTGTTGGGGGGGGGGGTTGGGCGGGAGGAAACGAACCAGGAACAACAGTAAATGGATAAGGAAGAGAAAGACACAGCCTCAGGAACACATTCCCTGGACTAATGAATAGAGAGCTGTTTTCCACGACCGTAGCAGAGTGTGGAGGCTGTCCTGTCCATTAGACTCCTTCCCAAACCTGTACAATGTAAACACTCCTGAAGACCAAGTAATGAAATCTCTATCGATAGACCATCTTAGATGGGACTCCCATGCTCATGTTTTGCTTACATTTTAATTTGCTCCTGCTGGATACTTACCCAGTAATTGCTTAATAAGATTAACCTCCCTAGCAATGTGTGGTGAATCTTGATTAAAACATCGGAGTGAAGGATTATCCTATACCACAAAAAATTGAGGGGGTGTTATTTAATTAACTTATTGCCAATATGTCTTGATTGTCTCTTTGAAACAGTGGGAAAGTGGTCGATGGGAATTGATTTGGGTTATCTAAATGTATAGAATTGGTGAGTGAGGAATGGAGAGGTCACCAGGTCTAGAAATTCAAATCTCAAGTCACTCAAGGACATTAACAAATTTCCCTGTCATTTTACAAGACTTCTTTTCAGCTCAAAGAGGCAAATCCGGTATCTTCAGTCATGACCAGAGTACTGTTTAGGTATTTGGAAAGAAAAGATATTGAGTTTTATTTCATTTTAAGGCAACTTTGAAATTTCACCCTTTTTATAAAGTCCAGTGGGCATAATCCACAGGACAAGGCTTTGGCAAACAGCCTCCCTTTCCTATAACCCATTTGGAAAATATCAGAACCAGTGGTGGTTACACAAGCTGGATTCTGATTTTTCAAGCACGCTTCACAGGAAAGGTGAAGACTCCGGCCTCTCCAAGTCACAATGAAAAGAGTTGTCCTCACTGGTTACCAGAGCAGAAGTTCTCAACATATGTGTCACGACCCCCCTGAGAAACCTCTAGATCCAAAAATATTTACAGAACGATCCATAACAGTAGCAAAAATACAGTTATGAAGTAACAATGAAAATAATTTTTGGTTGGGGGGTGGTCACCACAACATGAGTTGCTGTATTAAAGGGTCACCACAATAGGATGGTTGAGGACCACTGCCTTAGAGATGCGTATTCCTAAGGCTTGTCCTCAGAGGGGATTTTTCCTCAGTTGTCCAACTGTGATGGTGTGGGATGTTAAAGGGGAGTGGGGCTGATGAGTGTAGCATAAAGACAAACGGAAAGGGGGCTGTTTTCATTTTCTGGGGACCTGTGGAGATCACTGGGTCCCAGGGTCGAAGGCTACTATTTTAAAAGCATCTGTGGACAACATCAGAACACTTCTATCTTCGTGTCCCTTGCCTGATGGGATAATTTGCATCCTCACTTTCAAATGTGCATTCCAAAATGTGTCTGGAAGGATGGGGTTGTTGACTTGTGGACTAAGGGACAGTAATGGGTAAAGGTAGCAGAGACTCCCTGAAGCGCTGAGGTAATTCTTCACAACAGGGGGCTAGTGTACTGTAGGTCATTTAACAGCACCCCGCCCTTAATCCACTACTTACACCTCTTCCAATTGTGACAGTAACAAACAAACAAACAAAAAACAAACAAACAAACCCCAAAACTCTTTTCAGTCTTTGCCAAATGTCTCCCATGGGACAGAAATGAGAGCCACTGTTATAAAGGAAAAGGGAAGGAGTCGGGTCAAGTACTGGAGGTGAGCAGACTTCAAGCCTGAGAGCAATAAATTTGGCTCTGGGCTTTGTGGTATGTCAAATCAGAACATAGTCAGTTAGGGCGGAATATAGTCTTTATTTTGAGATCTAGTTTTACCTACTCAATAATGGAAAGCATATCATTTCCTCCTCAGATAAAACTTTTTCATGCTTACTTAAAGGTAATTTAGTGTTATGATTATGACAGATGGGAACAGTGATTCCAAAAGACTGGATAAAAAGGCAGAAGAGTCATACCTGAAGGTGTAGGACAGCCCTGGAGAGAAAGATTTAAGGACCATTGGCCTATTAGGGAGAGTAACACACACCCGAAGGCTGAGGAATTCTGGAATCTTCACAGCAGAGAGCACAAGATACAAGAAGAGCCAACATGCTGTCCAAAGAGGCACAGTGCACAGACCTGAATTCAAGTTTGTACCCGCCTTCGTTCCTTTGGATCAGCTTCTAGGATATTCTGGGCCTGGATTTCTCAGACATGAGTTTCCTGCTTTTGGAGCTGAAGTTATGCTATACTATGCTGGGCATGAGATAGATACTTAGGAAAGGTCCCTTTTTTTTTCTTTGAAATATTCCTGTGGTGTAGTCTAAAAAATATTGGTGTGTGTGTGTGTGTGTGTTTAATGGTGACTAAGAAAGAGACTGAAAAAATTCTGTTTAGAGAAGCCCTTTCCATACAATCTCACCCTTATGTGATTTCCATCCCGAATTACTCAAAGGCCACCAAATTGCCAAATGCCAGCCCCTCCTAGCTGTTGCCATTGGCTGCTCTTGTCTTTTAATTGCTCCTGTCCCCACCTCCCCATGGTTCTGTTTTTCTCTCCTCTTTTTTAGCACTTTGTTAGCACCTATTTTTCTCCCCTACAAGAATACAGTCTCCTGATTGACTCAATGAACATTTCTATTGTCCTCCTCAGTGTTCTGAAAAGGGAAGCTTTGTTGCCGAGTTGTCAAAACTCCTTTCTAATTCTTCCCCAAAGCAGAACAGCTCTGTCTCTTTCATGGCAAGCCAGGTGAGTCAGCTCCCCAGGGAGGCTATATCTCTCCTCGTGGGAGAGGGACCCAGGATAGCGGCATGTACTGCCAGCTGCTTCCTCCTGCCTTTTGATTAGGCAGGTTTTTGCTGCTGCTGCTGCTGCTGCTGCTGCTGCTGCTGCTGCTCCAGCTGCTGCTGTTGCTGCTGCTTCTGCTCAGGCTTTGGGATGCTTTCAAGCATGCTACATTGAGCCAGTTGCTGTAGATAGCATAGGTATGCACACCGCTTGGAGCAGGCTCTGTGCCAGATCCAAGTGACTTCAGCCAAATACAGCTAACAGACAGGAACAGCAAACAGCTTTTAAATGAGGGCATCTATGAAAGGCAGTCTTTTTTTTTTTTTTTTCTTTTTCTTTCCGTTTCTCTTTCCTCTTTTTTTTTTTTTTTTCCATGCCTTCCAAGATCTGGATTAAAAGAAAAAAAACCTAAAGCAGCTGGTAATAGCCTTGAATTTTCCTGTGACCTCAGTAGGGCAAGCAGCAGCTGTAACCTCACCTTTGCCTCCAGAGGGCATTGTTGCCACATCATCGTTTCCTGGTAAGCCGGTCCTTACGCCATTGTTAAAGGTGTGTCCATCTGCCGGCTGGAGTTGCCAATTGAGTCCGAGCAGATGCATTGCTGCAGGAGAGACAAAGTAATGAAAATATGAATAGATAATTCAGCAATGCAAATGTCAAGGGGGAGGGCCAGGTGCCTTTTTCCAAGCGGTTGCCTTTTAAGGAAACTGCAGTTCAAAAAATGGCTTGCCCCAGGCCGCAAGGATTAGCTAAAATACAGAAAGTGGCAATCCAAGAGCTTCCGTCTCTTTTGCTTTGTAGCCGTTCCCAGCCTCAGGGGCAGCACCCCTTGTGAGAAGCGCAAGAGAGAGAAAGAGAGTCTGAATATAGGTCCGATCTTTCAGGATGGGGTTACTCCTCACTTCCCTGCCTGTCCACACACCTGACGTGAGTGCTTTTCGACAGGTGCACTGACAAAGGCTGGGTTCATCCAGCTGTTCAAAATGTGAGTCAAGTTCAAAAACAAGGCTGCGCTGCTCCCATTTGACAGGCCCTGAAATGCCAACACAGCCAGAGGGATCTGTGGCCGCACGGTCTGCTTAGAAGGATGCCTATCTGACTGTGCCAAACTTTGAAAAAAAAAAAAAACTTTTTCTTTCTTCCTCTCTTCATGACAAGTGCATATCTTTTAGCACATTGTGAAAATGCTTAAGACGGGTGTGTGTGTGTGTGTGTGTGTGTGTGTGTGTGTGAATAGTGGTAGAGCCTATTCCAGAACAAACCAAACCAAACATAGTATTATTCATTCCCCCACAAGTATGGAATGACACAGAGATGGGATGCACAGAAGCACTTGCTCTCAGGAGACAAGCATGTTTTCAGAGGTTGATTTCCATCTGTGCCTCAGCCTCCAGGCAGCCTTCTGGGCTTGTTCCTTAGCTTGTGCAGTTAGTTTAGAAAACTCGACGTACCGTTCATCCAGTCCCCCCCCCCCCCCCCCCCCCGTGGATCCTGGTTTTACTGTTACTGAGGGGACAGAAACACCTGTGTTCCTCCCAAGCCTTCTTCTAAGAAACGCTTCATTTGTAAATAAATAAGGAATCCACCCCCCTGTATATTCCCCCCCCCCCCCGCAAACAATGACTTGCCCCCCTCCCCATCTGTCTGGCATTTCAGTGGGCACAGGTTGACAGTGCCTGTTGCCACATTCGCAGCTCGGCAGGAGAGAAAGGGTTGTTGACAGGAAAGTTCTGAGTTTGATGTGGGGAGGGGAGAAACAATTAACCATAGGAAACACAATTAACAATGCTTAGGAAATTGTTCACATGGCAATTAATTCTGCATGCCTACCACCACTTAAAGTCAGGCTGCATTCTATTAAGGTTAAAAACCTATCTTCACACAATACAGCTCAGATTGATGGCTGCAGATTAAGGTGGCAAGGTACCCGTGAGAGCATGTGTCTGCTTCTCTCTCACAGGCTTCTCCACCTCAAAACCACATTATCCGTCTCTGCATTTCCATGAGGTACAAGGCCCACGGTTGCAACTTTCCCAGATGATAAATACTAATAAGAATAAGTGACATTTACTGTACTCTTTCCGTCGAGGTAACACCTAATTTTCTCCTGCAGTTTATCTGTTATATGTAGGTCACTTACTTGAAGAGACCAGATTCTATTGCCTCAAATAATGACATATTTTCACCATACAGAGGTCAGGAAATGAGAAGTAATCGTGGTCGCTTCAGGATAACGATAGCTTCTGATTTGTAATTACCAGGTGAAGGGAGCCAAGGAATTAGCTGTTTTAAAATGATTTTTCAAAAAAAAAAAAAAAAAAAAAAGAAAGAAAAAAAAAAACCCGATACCATTGGGTTATCGGAGCTCGCCTGGAGCCAGCTGCTGCAGCGCCGAAGAAGCGGCTCTTTGGAGGAGGGTCCCTGAGTGCAGAGACAGATGCTGCCGCCATGCATCATAGATGCAGCTGGGGCCCCAGCCTAACAAAGCTTTGATGCTCATGTCTATGAAAAAGCAATGGGCCCTGGCAGGCAAAGACGACAACCTCCCCAGTGCCCTACCCACATGAAACTGCTCTTCAGAACTGCTCTCCTCCTCTCACACTGCTCAGGCTTGTCACTCCAAGGCACAGGGTATATTGCCATCGTCAGCTTCAGAATAGTAGACAGGACCGTAATCTTACTGAGCATAAAAGGGACACTCACGGCACCGTGCTCTACTTTCAAGGATGTCTTCCTTCCTGCCTCAACGTTTTTGTTTTGTTTGTTTCTGTTGTAGCTCTTTATTGTTGTTGTTGTTGTTATTATTATTATTGTCATTACCACCACCACCACCATCATTATCAACAAAATTAGTCAGGACAACCAGGCACGAGGTCGAAGGGGTTAGGTTTAGAGTGTGTGAATCACTTCTCAGGCAACTCAGGAGTGAATAGGAAAATAAGTGAGATAAAGGTAGGAAAAGGGGCAAAGCCCAATTGCTGAGCATGAAACCTGTCCACCAGCAGAAGTGATGCACAAAAATGAAACTCAAGTTCAGGCATATTTCCCATCATTGGGCCGAATCTAAGAAAATAAGTGAGAACTGCGCTAGGGGTATGACCACCTTTTCTTATTTTGGGGAAGGGCATCTGAAATAGGCTTTTTTTTTTTTTTTTTTTTTTTTTTTTTCTTGTATGCTGGTGTTCTTGGTCTGCTCTTCCTTGTTGCCTGACTTGAGCAACAAAATGAGACGATCATCGACTAGGCCTGTGGGAATGGACTGAAGGGTCCTCAGGATAGAGACCCTGAGGAGCTGTGAGGTAAATTAGTTTGCAGACAATCGAGAGCCCTGCTTCTTCTTCTGCTACTGACTGATCCTGGGGTTTGGGCTAAGGGGTCATCCCTTCATACTTTTCTCCCTTTCCCTTTTGGAAAAGTTTCCTTCACAGGTGGAATAAAGACAGCTTGGGGCACCAAAGAAGTTATGCATACATAGCTCCCCGGTTGGCATTATCTCAAACATAGATGCCACACCCACATTTATTAGGGTAGACCATGGCACACAGAGGCATACTTGAAAGTTTGGACAGCAGAGTATTAAATGCTTCTAAAAACAAAACAAAACAAAACAAAAAACAGTGTGGAGATATAGAGGACAGGATGGAATATTATGGGTGGCAAGATGTACTAGGGTATACACAGTAGGCTACTTTGATCCTCAGTTTATCATCTATCTGCTGTCAATCATTGAGCTCAATGTTCAGGCACTGACATACACATTATCCTAAAGAGTTCCAGGTAGGTACTGTCATGATACTCACTCCCAGATGAGGGGAGTTACGAAGTTTAACCATTGGCGGACTTCAGAATCAGTAGAGCTATGCGGGGATGTGGTACCCGCTTCTCACTTCATAGAGATCTGGCTACCGAAGCCATGAATCCACGGGAGAGCGGCCTCTCACCTAAACTTGCTTCTGTCTCAGAACTCATGATCAGCAAAGTGGGTCCGCGCACGGTCAGTGTGTATCACTGCTGCCTGGAGGACCTTTTCTCTCTTTTTGCTGTTCACTGCAGCTGTGGGCTTCTGACCCGCAGTGTACACTTGCATTACATAGCGATCCTGGGTCCTGAGTAAAGAGGCCATTGGACAGAGTCAGCCATGGCTGGAAAGTGTCAGAAACCAGAGGGGAAAGTAATGAATTGTCATGGCAGAGAACCACCCAGTGTTTGGGGCTGTTTGTTACAGCAGCACGGCTGAGTCTACCTTGACTGATACATTCATTTATGAAGGAAAGGGAAAAAAGGACATGTTTATAGACTAGATCTCTGTGAATTCTTTATATTTTATAAGGCCAGGAGCTTTCCTGAAATCCAGACAGGAAATTACCTATTTTGGGTCATTATGCCTGTTTCCATGGACAACAAAATAGTTGAATATTATAACACTGTCATCTTTTGTTTTTGTTGTTGTTATTGTTATTCTATTACCAGAACCAGAATAGACAACTGAAAAGCCTTGGAATAAGCAGAGTCATTGTTTCTTCATCTCAGTACTTCACATAAATGCCCATCACTTCACATTTCACTAGAGGAGATATCCTGGCTACCCTGGGATGGTCCCTCCTCCTCCTCCTCCTCCTCCTCCTCCTCCTCCTCCTCCTCCTCCTCCTCCTCCTCCTCCTCCTCTTGAATGCTCCAGCAGCTCATCCCAAAAGGTCTGGTTCAGACCATGTTAGGGTCAGAAGTGAAATGAGTTCTGGAAGCCCTCTTCTCCACATTACCCGCCCCCACTGACAGCTGAAATGTACAATTCATCATGACTTGACAGGCTCTACTCCAGAGAGACACTGGGATGGAACTCAGGGCTCCATGGGTCAGCAAGGATGGGGCGAAGAAGGGCTTCAAGTGAAAGCTCATGGAATCCAGGTGGCATCTGGGAACTCGGCCACTAAAAGCACAGCGAATGGCGAAACCCTGAAAGTATCCCTCAGCTACTTGGAGAGGACCTTCCCAGAGTGTTGAAAAGAACCCAAGGCCACATGGGAGGACCACACACAGATCCTTGGTTTTAGCAAGAACAAGAGTCAAACCTTCTTGCAAGACAATTAAGAGTTTTTCTTTGAAGTTCCTGTATTTAGGTGCCAGATGGGCTCCAAAAGAAATACTCAGAGAGCAAGCCCAGCCTAGAGAAAGCAGGTGGGGTTGGTCGCAGGTGACAGGACTCTCCAGCCGGCACAAGGACGTGGAGATCCCAGGCCTTGAAAAAAATGGCAGCTTCCAAAAAGGGTTGTCTGAAATAGTAATTAGAGTATGTGTGGGCCCTGCTGAGTGCCATTTAGAACCTTCTATGTTCATTGGCTGGCAGAGGATCAGCCTGACATGAGAGTCAATCAATATGTCAGCAATACTTCACCGAGAGCTGCTCAACCCCTGCTTGTCAAAGAGGACAAACATGGAAGCCACAGATGTTCGGTGTTTGCTGAGCAGGCCCCCAGGAGCAAGGGGTATCTTTAAAGATCAGGCCTGTCGATATATAACCCGGGGAGGAGATCGGACTCTCCCTTTGAAAGTGCAAGTCTGCAGGCCAAGCAGAGCCCCAGGAGGGAAAGGAAGGAGCCAAGC